TATATATATGTGTGTGTGTGTGTGTATGTATTGAGTTATTTTGTATACATAGATTTATTGAAGTGATACTTTCTCATATATCTTGATATGTACCAACTCAGTATTTCTAATCGAATATTGAAAATTGTTATACTTTTACAGTCTCGGATGTTCGTTTTGTTTGATATCTGGCGATTAATTCTTCACATATTGGAATCCGGCAGTTGAATTGACCATCCATTCTCCACCTTAGTACCATATGGTCTCATACACCTGCCTTGTTATACAAGAGCAGGTATTACACCATTGATATGGTAGTTTAAACCGTGCACGTTGTAAGTATATTACCAACGACCACCAGTGTATGTGATGTCGCATATCAGAGGAGATGATCTGGCACAAAGAAATGATACTCACCTTCACACAGCATAATCAACATTTATATATATATATATACACTTATCATCTGTATTTTTAACCATTTGTACCTGTTCTCTCAACTATATATATACACTATCTTCTGCTGCATCGTCAAACCTTCACACCCGATTCTTACCGATTTATATTATTATCATCTGAACTATTTATACAATTAACTTCTACTCTATTTTCATCCGTTTACACACGGGCGCTATTTATATACACTTATTAATTCTCAACTATTTATATACACTTATTCGATCTCAAATAATAATATACACTTGTGAATCTCAACTATTGATATGCACTTATTAATTCCCAGCTATTTATATACACGTTTCAATTCTTAACTATTATATACACTTATCAATATACACTTATTAATTCTCAGCTATTAGATATACACTTATTTTCGGCTCGATTGTTAACCTTTTGCTCACTTCGGCGCAGACGACATGGAATATACACAAACTTCTTGTGGGAAGAGTGATCTGTATTCGAAAGCTCCTGCAACCCCATTGAAAGGTTCAAATTTGGCGGGAAACCCCAAAGCTCTGGCCAAGACTAATTCCAAAGCTCTGGCCAAGACTAATTCTGAAGCTCTCGCCAAGACTAATCGTCAGGATTCGGCGCTTGACGAAGTGTCACTGCAATGTGCGCATACCGACCACCAAGAAGATTCAGAGTATGTGTGTGCTATTAATAGGTTTGGAGTGTAGGCGTTCTATTAATAAATTTCGAGTAGGTGTGTGCTATCCATTGATTTGGAGTGCAAGAGTTTTATTAATAGATTTTGAGTAGGTGTGTGCTATTAATAAATTTGGAGCGTAAGAGTTCTATTCATAGATTTCGAGTAGGTGTGTGCTATTTGTGTATTCCGAGTTAAGGCGTTCTATTAATAGATTCGGAGTAGGTGTGTGATATTAATAGATTTAAAGTACGTCTATCACATCCAAACAACTCCAGTGCGTGTCATTGACTGGCGAACGGTTCCGTCTGCTATTCCACAGTAGCACAAACCCTAAAACCCTAAACCCTACACCCTCGACAGAGGCATTGTGGACAGTCACAACCACATCAGCCGTAGGGCAGAGAAATCAGAGATACGACGCAGAACCCTAAACTCTAAAACTATGAAATGCATATACGTCGTTCGCGTGTTTTATTAAAGGCCTACCTATTCGAATCACTCACGCCTACAGACGGAGAGACTCAGCATTCGATGAGGTGTACAGAGCTAAGCCGGGCGATAAGTCCCTGGACACGAACACCATTAAGGAACTGCCCAACGGAGACAACCACACACAAGCGGGAATAAACGACACAAACGGGGCAATAAACGACACAGCACACGGGGGGGGAAGCGAAGAGGATGACATAAGCGACACACCCGCAGCACGCCGTGCCTCTACGAAGCCCACAAACACGACGGAGGAACTAGAGCTGCAGGTGAGGGAAGCTTTTGGTTTGTATTTGGGACGTGAAAGAGCATGTCTGTGTTAAATATTTAGACATACAAATGTGAAGGTACATTCGAACCTGGAAATGCATATGTATACGTATACGGGTTGACGTATTTGTGTAGTTGGTCACTTCCTAGTATGTTTCACATATAGTGGGTGTCGCGGTGTATTGTTGTTTTGGTGTGCAGATGCAGGAGCAGAATGTGTTTATTTTGCAATATTTGAGAAATCACACCTCGTGCTCCTTCGTTTGTCCGCTTGCTTGTTAGAACCCTAAAACCCTAAAACCCTAAGCGGACTACTAGAGTATAGAGTGTATCTGAATAACAAATGTAAGGTTTCACCTAACTATCATTCACATCAGCTATCTTTTGGAAGTTCTGTACTCCAAATACATAACCATTCTATATGTAGAGCATTTCTCTCATACTTATACATACGGGTCTGCTTGAATCGGAAATGTGTCTACATGTTCAATGTGTAGTCTATCCTATCTATCATCCAGATTAATTACCTTAAAGATGATCCGTACTCCGTATTCGAACTTTGGCTTGCACCCCTCGATTTTAGGGCTCTGCCAAACCCCAAACACTAAACCCTCGCAAAAACCTGAAACTTGAAACCTGAAACCTGAAACGCGAATATACCTCCCATTGCTTCAATTTCCAGAAAAAGATATTGGATGGATCTAGAAACTTACTAAAGGAAACAAAGACAAATTCTGAAGAATATCGGAAAGCAAAGGTGTGTTTCGGAGCGCACAGGTCTAACACGACCTCTCACAGATAATTTTTGACTTTGTATGTTGACCGATCCAAGAACACACGACTGTGTGAATCAACCTGTGAATCTAACACTCGTTTTTGCACACTCACATTTGTAGAAATATATTATAATACAGGAGGCATCTGTAGCAGAGTTTATTTGACAGTAGATATGATATATTTGTATGTGCCGTTCAGTCTCTGTAGCTCAGTATCATTCCATACAGCGCCTACAACAGATCACTCACAAACCATTCATTAACACTCACAAACCATTCATTGTCACTCACAAACCATTCATTATCACTCACTGTCACCCAGGCTATAATAAAAGACACCAAAGAACATATCGAACATTTGAAGAATCGAATCGAGAGTGAAAAAATGGCTCAAAAATCATCGCTGGCTAGCCGTAAGCACAGCGGCAAGAGGTGAGTGAAATAGCTACAATTTTTTGCTACAAACTGATAATTTATATATAT